GAACAATCTGAGAGACATTTTTATGGCTTAAAAAAAATCCAGTTGCAAAATAGTGAGTAGATTCTGGCTCACTTCTCATTGAACTATGCACATCTAGTCCAGTAAGACTTAGTAGAAACATATCCTCTCTCCATCCTTGCTCTCTTCCCCATATATTGTTATGCATACCTAATAGGTGAATGAATGAATGCTATAAATCCTGTTTTATTCCTTCTCCCACAGGGTTCTGGAATGTTTCTGCTTCATTGTTCACAATCAGCTAGCAACTATACTTTCTCTACAGCTCACGGCAACAAATGCTGTGCAAAGGCAGTGTGACGACTCGCCAGAGGGCAAAAATGCTCTTCTGTTTTTGGCTTGAGTACAACATGGAAATGTGGTGTCCTTTTCTGTGCTTTTGTTCACACATCTGCTCAATGGGTGAAATGACACCGTAGGGATAAAATATAGAAGCCAGTGAAATTTTTCTTAAATGTCTGGTTTTAGATTATACCCTAAGTACTTTGAAGTCATCCCCAAAGATTCAGAAATGCTCTTAGAAGAAACAAAGCATTACTTCTCAGTTTGTTGGGATGATTAATCCACCATTTAAGTTAGATGTGGCTTTCTTTATTGCTTAGGGTTTTATTGCAAAACACAAGTGAATCAACTTCTCTTTGCATTGAAAACTCACCCCACATTCATTTCAATGAAGCTAGTACCTGGAGGATTGACTGTGTACTACTTTTAGGTGAAATGTAGGGCTTGGTACTATAGGAATGTCAAGGTAAGTGAGGAAGACATAGGCTCAGTTTACAAAAATCTCCTAGTAAGAGAGAGGCCCATGACCTAAATAAAGGCAGGGTCTGACAGCTGTAAGAGCAGTAAGAGGCACAGGAAGTCTCCATGCTGAGGTGAAGGGAGGGATTTGAACTCCATTGAGGGGAAGTTCAGACACTGGGTGGAGGACCTAAGCTCAGCCTCACAGTCAGACAGGTTTCAGGAGAGCAGCTTAGCACTATGGCAACAAGGAACATATCACAGATGGGAAATCAGAAAGTGTATTCAAGGTCTGATACTTGGAGTACCAGGGATTGAACCATTGATCTACATTCCCAGCCATTTTTAATTTTTTTATTTTGAGACATGGTCTCCCCAAGTTGCTTAGGGTCTTACTATTGCTGAGGCAGGCCTTGAACTTGTAATCTTCATGCCTCAGACTCCAAAACTGCTGGGATTACAGGCATGCAACACTGTGCCCAACATGTGGAACACTTTAACAGATGACCAGGGCATGTGTGGGAGGGAAATGAAAGATAAATCTAAGATGGACAGGGTTTTAGGTGGAGACTTCTGTCAACTTTATGAAAAGCATTTGATTAGATCTATGACATCCAAAAGTAGGAAAAAGAGTCTCAGAGAAAAGGTTTCAAATGATTAACCATATTTGCTATATTTTCTACCATACCACCAGTACCTTTGAGGCTCCAAAGGGAGAGAAAATAAAATATCTCTTATGATCATCATTGTGCACAGTTGGCATTTAACAAATATTTGTGAAATAAACCATTAAAAAAATAGAAACAAAATTTGAGAGAGAGAGATCTGCTCCTTAGTGTCATACTGTGACACTGAACAAGGCTGTCACTGCTGGAATCCATGGTTCTCCCCAAAGTGAGCAAAGACAGGATGAGTGGCAGAGGCAATTTTAAAGGGAAAAATTTGATCATAACATATTTGGTCTTCAAATACAATACTGCAGCAGAGAGTCTGTTTGAGAGGAAATACACCGAGTATCCTGGAGCTCTCTGGATTGTTGTGCCAATGTCACTCTAGAAGTTGGAAATGAACAGAAGGAGGCCAGCAGAGCTCCATGCTCTCCTGTTTTCCACATCCTGGTAAAAAGGAAGCAAATGATTGATTGCTTCATTGAGTACAGTCCTCCTTCATATCTTCAGGGGATTGTTCCAGGATCCCCACAGACACCAAAAATCTGCAGATGCTCAAGTTGCTTATAGGAAGTGGTTTAGTGTTTTTATATAACCTATTACTTTAAGTCATCTCTAGATTACTTATAATACCCAATACAATGTAAATGTTTTGCATACAGTTATTCAATGTATTTTAGGGAATAATAAAAAAAATATCTGTACATGTTCAGTCCAGAGTGTACAGATGTGGAAGGCTAACTATATTATTTTTCCCAGTTAAAATAAAAACTTTAGTATCTCTCATATCACTAGAGCTTTGTGGCTTTTTAAAGTTCTTTTCTAACATTATTTCATGAATTTTCACAATCCACTATTTGTGGTAACAAGGGGAGGAATTGTTTTCATTTGGTTTGACAATGCAGAAGCTGAGGCCTAAAGGAATTTCATGACTCTTCTATAATATAGTTGCCAGATGGAGAAGGTGAGATTCATCCTGGGTTTTTTTTTTATTTAGTAGCCAAAAGAAAACTGTTTCTTCTACATTAAAGGCTTCTGAAGAGACTGGATGTACCACATGTCCTGATTCAAAGACTCAGAGTCCAGTGGGAAGATTCTAGTTCATGAAACTGGAGGACAGAGGTAATGTGTTGGATATTTCCAGTCATACATGCAGAAAAATATTAGATAAAAAACCAAAATAAAGTTTTTTTCCAGACACATAGCCTAGCCTTGTGAAAGAAAGAAAAATCCCCATATGATAGGAATGAAAAAGAATCTAAAACTAGAAAAGTAAACTTGTGGTCAGATGCTTCATTTGACAGGGAAGTGAAATCTGGATGCAGGTTCTAGCAGCCAAAGATGGGAATCAGATGCCTTTGTTGGGTGGAAGATGGGGTGGAGTATCTGCAGAAAGCGGAAGGCTGAATGAAGATGTCTCACCAAGAGCCTGAAAATCTGAAAAGACTGATGTCCTTCCATAAAGGACAAATCAGAGCACAGAGGTGACAAAGAAGCTTATTGTCAACCTAGGGCTCTCAAAGGGAAAAAAAGAAAAAAGTGTTCATTTTGCATGACATCAACACATCAGACCTGTACCATATACAGGGGTGGCATAGAGTTCAAGTGCATAGTATGGGAATCCCCTAGAAATGAGCATGAACTGGACCTGGGCAGGTGCCCTGCAAAAGTGAAAGCCAAGCCACCTCTATGAAACTTTCCATAGTCCAGGGTCCCTGGAGAATCCATAGATAAAGAAATCATGTACAAGATGAAGTTTTAAACAGAATTATGATTAATACAAGAAAACTTTCGACTATTAGTAAGAATCATCAGATACAACCACCAAAAAATAATAGTATGCATGACCTTGAGAGATGAAAAAGAATAAAAGTCAGCATATTTCAAAGCATTAAAGAGTGAAGAAAGGACTGGAAGTCTAAATGGAGTAATAAATGTAGAAAAACAAAATCAATAACTGAAAGTTAAGTAAACTGATTTTCCAGAAATAAAAATCTAGTAATCAAGATAATGAAAAGACAATGTACTAATAGGCTAGATTTAACTGAAGAAAGAATGAATGTTTGCGTGATTGAAGGAGGACTATATCCAGAGATAGAAAAGAGGAACCAACACGTGAGACATATGGAGTGGAGAATGAGAAAATCCAAAATACACCTAACAGGAGTTCTGAGTATAGACAAGATCTAGAATATGGGAGGGGCCGTATGAAAGTTGTTATACCTGAGAACTTTCCTGACATCATAAATCCTCAGTTGACTATGTATCCCAAATCTTGAGGATAATGAACACAAATCCACACATAGCAATGTGATAGTAATACCATCAAACTCTACAGATTTCCAGGTATGAAGAGGAGATAGTTAAAGGATTAGTAGATAATGAGGTACATGGTTAACCCTCAAAGAAAGGAGAGAGCAACCTCCAGGGGTTATCAGGAACAAGCTGTCAGGTTTCCATTACTGTAACAAAGTGACTGAGGTGATCAACTTAAAAATGTACAAAATCTATTATAACTCATGATTCTGGAGGTTTCAGGACAAAATCAGGTGGATTCACTGTTTTGGGGTTCTGGCAGGGATGGCAAATAAGAGGGGAGTATGCGGCATAGGAAAGTGCTTATGTCATGAGCCAGGAAGCAGAGGGAACAAACAGAAACAGGAGAGAATGAGGTCTTACAGTCCCCAATGACCTAAGGACCTCTCACTAGACCCCACCTCCTAAAGGATCTACTACATCTCAGTAGTACTACCCTAGGGAACAGATCTTTCTCAAAGGTCCCCTAGGGACCTTTAGGGGATATTCATCCAAACTGAAGTCTAGGCTCAGTGAGACGGGTACTCTAAAAGCACACGGGAGCAATGTGGGAAGCACATAGAGCAGGGAGTTGGTCATGGATAAGCATGACAGGCTTAGAGGAAATGCAACCTGTCGGCATGCATGTGTGACAGAAGTGTCCATGGCAGGAAAGAAAGCTGTAGGGGGAAGTGGGACTCACCATGGGGCATCATCTCTTTCTCTAAAACAAGGAGAGTCACCTTTTAAGCAGAACAGGACAGGGTAACCTTCACATTTTAAAACTAATCTGGCTGCTCTGTGGAGGATGAACAGGAAAAGGATAAAGATGGCAGCAGGGGCAGGAGGGGAAAACAGTTTCCACAGTCCAAGACCAGGTGTGGATGCTAAGGGTCAGAATACAGCCAGCAGCTGTGGGGGAGGGGGCGTGAAGAAAAGGAGCCAATCCTGGAAGGGGCTGGTGGACATGCAACATGAAGGATGCAGAGCATGTGGGGAGAGGGGACAGGGGCCGAAGAATGACTTCCATGTGTCTGGCTGGGAGCAGGATGCCTGGTCCCCTGCACAGATCACACAAGCTTCTGATCTTCACAGACATGAGTTTTATATGCTACTGCCTCATCACTATTTCATTATTTCTCTTTTTAGTACCCAATGCCAAACATTATTGATTGACAAATGATTAATGCACTATCATGGATCATCTAGAAAGATAATCCATGTTTAGTTTGACTATGATGTTCATTTTAGGTAACGTTACATGAACAGGTAGCAGCAGAATGTTTAAACTGTTTATTCATTACATAGGGATACCTCTTTAAGATGGAAAAAATGATAATTCTTATAAATATGCAGAATCCCAGAACAGGAAAGCAATGGTATTTGTGGTGGAGAGTTGTGGGGAAGATGATGTTTATAATCATAGCTATTTCTTAGCATCCTTAGGATTTGGCTGAAATCTCATCTGTTCTTATCAGAGCATGGAGGCACTGTGTTGGCCCTGTCCATTCTCTCCTGGCTTCCTGATGGGCTCATGGCAGAGGCTGGTTCTTAGTCCAGGAGTAAGAGGAAAAACTAGTCTTTTAGCTGTGAGAAGTTGCAATGTCAGAGGTGGACAGCACTGCTGAACTCCCACGACGTATTAGAGATTCTTCACGTACAAGTCTAAAGGAACTGCATTTAAAGACCATTATGATTTTTAACTATTTTAAAGGTGAGGAAATGGGATTCAGAAAAGAACCTTGGCCAGACCCCTGAGTGGGGAGAGATGCTTTGAAGGCAGGAATGTGGAGTTCCTGCTAGGACCCTACTCTGAGTCAAGTGCCCTGGCATTGGCAGTGTGGCGTATGGCCCTCCAGCCAGCCAGCACTTCTTCATGAGTGAACTCATGGATATGGTCAGTGGAGTTCACGGCAGGGGCCAGGCCTGGCTCCTCCATATCCTCATTGTGTGGTCTCCAAAAATCAGTTAACCTCTTGCTGCCTTGTCCTCCTCATCTGTGAAATGGGGATCGGATTACTTCACTGCAGGTCCCTCTGCCCATCTGAAGTTTGGATGATTAATGGTATAATGGAAGGGATGTGTCAGCCTCAGGGCAGACCCATTTATTATAGAGCTGAGTCCACTTTTCTTCTTTCCTCCACACTCTGTTAAAGACGTTAAAAAAAAAAAAAGTAAAATAAGCTAAGGGGGAAATTTTCCAGAATCTCATTGCATAACATTTAATAATTACAAACTAATTTAATCTAAAACCCATTATCTTAGTTAATAATGTCAGATTACTCTGAGAAAAACTGACTTGGTTTTGGCACTAGCATGATTGTCAAGAGCTTAACCAGACTTAGTTCTTTTTATTCCCTAAATAAAAGGGATTATGTGCAAAGTGACATTTCAGATTACCATAGTTTCAAAACACCTATAGGGCTCTGAGGTTTAGTCATTTCTCTAGGGAGCGTGTGGGGAATAACTTAAACAATTCCAAACCAACTTCAGCTTGCTATGACATTTTCCATACATTAAGTCTGCATGAATTTGTATGTTTCTCTTAAAAGTTAAAGCTAAGAGTTAAGCACAAGGCAGTGTTATCAATCATTAAAAATATTAACAAATACTCACAAGAATCATTAAATTGGATACTTAGTCATTGTTCTACGTGAGGTGAGGTAAATGCTATTTTTCTGAGGTTAGTTCAGAACCTAGAGGGACATATATGCATAGGTCCCCATTAGTGTCTATTGGGGTGTTTTTCTAGACCTCAGCCAAAATACCAAAATCTGAGGATTCTGATGTATTATTTTTATATAACTTACATTCATCTTTCCATATACTTCAAATCATCTCTAAATTATTTGTAACACTAAATACAATGCAAATGCTATGATGAAAGTTAAATATATAATTTTAGGAAGTAATTTAGGGAGAAAAAAATGTCTGTACAGATACCCTTTTTTTCCCAGTGTTTTCCATCCTAGTTGATTAAATCCGCAGACATAGAATTTATAGACATTTAGTGTTGACAGTAGACAGATCATATCAATCCAAGGTGTATGGTGCCCTAAGGACAACTCTGCTTTAAGAGGGCAACATGAGGTTAGAATTCAGGGGGCTCCTTTGTGTGTGATTTTGGTCTGAGAACCTATTTTTGCAAATAGTATCTGATACTTTCCTGGATACCACAGATTCTCTCAAACATTTAACACACTCAATGGAAGCCCAGCTGTGTGCCAGGGCTGGTTGTGGAGACCAATAAGGCACTGGATTGCAGAAATCCCAGAAGCCTGCAGGTGGGATGATTGGTGGGGGCTGGGCAGGGGCACTTCTTGTGAAGAGGACAGCCCGTTTCTGTGCTGGCAACACCACAACCAAAGTGAAAAGTGCTTCGAGAGATCGCAAAAGTTTAAAGTTTTCTATGAAGCGACCCGATTTTCAAATATGGGTAATAGATAGCAAAAACGTAATTCTTTCAACACCGTGCACTGTGTTGGGCTAAATCAAGCTACTTAGTGACCTCTGGATGCTATTCCTGCCCACAAAAGCTCTACTTCCATCAGGATCTCCCATCATTACTCACCAGCGGCCATTGGGCCTCTGGGTAGAGATGCTGCACGTGCATCTGAACACATGATAACTCAATCATGGTATTATTTGATGACATAGCTGCATTATTTCTTAAAGAGAGCGATTCTGTTATTAAGTAAGAGAAGGCATTCTAATCTGAACATAGTATTTGAGGGAACCAAATTCAAAATGAATATATTTCATCAATCCAGCCAATGTATTCCTGTGCAATATCTTTTAGTTTTTCCTTCTTCCTGCCACGGAAGCCCATAATGCACTATTTAATCTCTCAATCTGTTCATTCTAAGAGCTTTTTCTTTAAAACAAAATGGAAAGAAGGGAGTTTGGAGTCATTATTGGAAGATGGTTTCCTGTGCGTTTCTGTGTTATTTCCCTCTGTGATAGACAAATGGAGAGGCAGAGTCCTCACCAGCAAGTCCATGTCCAGAATGAGACATATGTCCCCTAAATGGCAGTCTGACCCACTGTGGCAATCCTGGTATTCTGATGGTCTTGGCTTACCATCTGTCAGTGACTGTGCCTGCCCCAGTGTGGCCAAAGCAGACAAATATGCTGAAGGACACTGCACACATCTTCCTAGTATCCAGTTAGGTCAATTTGTAAGTTTTGTGTTGGGATGCAGAGAAGCAAAAGATTTAGTAATTCTATAAATATATATATATATATATTTTTTTTTTCTTATTCTTGTGCTTATTTAGATACACTGGGCTGGATACCCTGGGAGGGTATAGCAATCTTCCTACAGCTCATAAGCTAATCAATAGTAAATGCACTTGAAGAAGTCTTATGCATATTCACAAAGGAAAGTCTATGTGAGACAGAGAAAAACAGAAGGTATTGACTGTGTCTCCTTTGAGATGGAAGACCACCTGTCTCATGGAAACACAGCTGGTCAAGATCTCTGGCTTGTCTCCTGATGGGTGTCTAAGTTTGAGGTGAGGAAGAGCAATTTGCAAGATGGCAGCAGCTTAATGTTAGCAATTCTTTTGAAGGAGAATATTTGCTGAATTGATGCTGTCTTTCTTTTTGAGTAACACCATCTCCTGCTTTGAGAAGCTGTGGGTAGAAACAAGAGTTCAGAAATATTTCAAAGCAGTGAGAGTTTATTTGCATGTTAGTGAAACACAAGAATATATATTCATATTTGAGAACCACAAACCTGATTAGCCTAATTTTGAAGTCATTTGGGCACTCACTATATAACCACTGCAACTGAATATAGATATTGACAGAAACCTCTGAGAAACCAAGGCTATCTGCCACAAATGCAGAAACTACTCATGGTTTAACCAGTTTCTCCAGGAAATAGGTTTACTTACAGGAGCTCTAGACAGTTACTTATTTTCTCTGTCACTCAGACATCTTTTTTCTTTTAGTTTTAGCAGGAAAAAGCCAATGATATTGATATTGCATTTACCAAATATTGTTAGCTCTATTATAGAGAATCAATAGCAGATTAAATCACAAACCAGACTATTATCAGTCTTTGCTTAAGTAATGGACTTTACATAAAATCAAGCTACTCATTCATATGTCAATCTTTAGTAGCAAAAAATACACACACACACACACACACACACACACACATATATAAATGGATTTTAAGGTCTTTGGAGGATTAATGCAGGGACAGAAAGATATGTGCTTATTTATGGTATTTCTGAGTATGCTTTTAAGAGCGAATGCCCAATCTTTGGCAAAATCCCTTACTTGGGGGATCTTAATATCTTGTGGTTTCAATCTCTCACATTCTACTTGCCTAAGTCCTCCTTAGGGTCTCAAGTTTCCCAGTCACCACACAGCTACGACAGCTCAGATTTAATCAGCAGCAGATGCCCATGAGGAGGAAGGAAGGGCCATCCCTGCCCTCTGGTAGCCCTCCCATTAATGAAATATTCACCAAGAAAACAGTGTCCGAATGCAAACAAATAGCATGGACCAAATCCTTGCTCCACTTCTAACCTCCTGTGATCTTTGGCTTCTGTTCAGTAATTGCATTTATTTTTACTTCATTAAAAAATGTGAGAGATGGAATTTCATTGAGGTCTAAAGTTCAAAGATTTACAGCTCTGATACAGCAGGGAGAGTTGTCTTGGCATTTGTATCAGTTTGGGGTTAGAAGCCCTGGTCTATTTAATATGTGTTCTTGCAAAGGAGCTACCACTTCTCATATTTTGTCAGCAATTTACCAAAAATTTAGAACATTCCGTCACAATCATTTTTCTCACTTGATCTTTTCAATCACTCTGAGTTAACTGTGGTCATTTTCATTTTATAGATTTCAAGTCACCTCATTTTCCCAGACTTTGTAAGATTAAAGATAAAGTGCTTCTAAGACATCCCAGATTGAAATAAGCAGCTATTTCCATTCATAGGTGTCTATAAACTCAGAGTGCCCCTTCTTTGTACCAAGTCCTTCAAGCTTAGCTGACAAATACAAATATTTAAAGCCTTAAGCCCAAACTGTGTTATTTATAATGGACACGTCAAAAAAGAGGCAAGACATTGACAATTTTACTATTACACATTAAATTGAAAATCCACTTTGAAAATAATAATTTACAAGTTTAAATTGTTAGATATAGCTTAAAAACTATAATATATATTTGTGAATTTTTATTTTCAAGATGAAAATTACCCTTGCCAGGTATCTCCCATTCTGTGTCCCCCTATTTCCACATGTAATGGAGCAATGTCTCTATCATTAAATGGGGAATTTATCCTTGTCCTGAGTCTAATTCGGCAGCACTCTATCACCAAAAGGGAACCAGACTGTTGCCCCTAACAGTATGGCATTCTGAAGAAATTACTGTATCATAAAATAATGTAAAATATTTACCAAAATCCCAAACAGAGATGACAAAACTAAGGTTTAGAAAGATTAAGTATCTAAACCAAGTTAAGATTACTATATATGACAGAAATGAAGGGTATTTAGATTAGCTTGATGATGAGTCAAGAGCACAAGAGAAAACCACTGAAAACCACCCTAAGATATCATCTCACTCCAGTCAGAATGGCAGCTATTATGGAGAGAAACAACAATAAGTGTGGGTGAGGATGTGGGGAAAAAGGTACACTCATACATTGCTGGTGGGACTGCAAGTTGGTACAGCCAATATGGAAAGCAGTATGGAGATTCCTTGGAAATCTGGGAATGAAACCAACATTTGACCCAGCTATCCCTCTCCTTGGTCTATACCCAAAGGACTTAAAAAAAAAAAAAAGCATACCAGGGACACAGCCACATCAATGTTCATAGAAGCACAATTCACAATAGGTAAACTGTGGAGCCAACCTGGATGCCCTTCAGTGGATGAATGGATAAAAAATGCGGCATATATACACAATGGAATTTTACTCAGCAAGAAAAGAGAATAAAATCATAACATTTGTAGGTAAAATGGATGGCGTTGGAGAAGATAATGCTAAGTGAAGTTAGCCAATCCCCAAAAAACAAATGCCAAATGTTTTCTCTGATATAAGAAGGCTGGCTCATAGTGGGGTATGGAGGGGGAGCATAGGAGGATTAGATGAATTCTAGATAGGGAAGGGGGATGGGAGGGAG